TTCGGGGGTCTCCCGACTCACTCCGCACGACGCACGAGCACGGCTTCCGCTCGACTCGGCCCGAGACGTACCTGGCCAACTCCAGCGCCTGCCAACGTGCCTGTCTTGTGGGCGAGACGGACAATGTGGTGGTGAACGGCAACAGCCGGGCGCCCATTTCGGTTTTTTGGTGGAAAATTGTGCCCCGTAAACGCGAGGAGAAAAAGTTTGTTTGGGTGTGGGTCAAAATAAAACCAGGATATGGACAGCAGGTTTTAGTCCATTCCATTTTACTCGTACCAGGGTTTCAGTTTAGGGACCTATTTTGACCCACAGCCATTTCGGTTTGGTTTGAAACGGGCCCCGTAAACGCGTGGAGAAAAAACAATAGGTTCAAGTTGTTTGTGTTTAAGAAAAACGGGCCACTGGCCCGGTAAACGCGTGGAAAATGGTGGGTAGAAGTTCAAGTTTGCTTGCTTTTTTAGATCCTTGGCGGGGATCTTTTGGTACGCGGAAGTGTTTCTTGCACTAAGTCTTGGTTGCGTGCACCTCATTTTGGGTGGAGGGACGCAAGGAAGCACCGGTATTTTCAGGCCCACCATGTGCCCTTGGGGGTTGAAGGGGCTCAGAGATGGCTCAATCGAAACCGGATGAGCGGCGGGGGGGCCGGCCGGCCCGTCCGCCAGAAGTGGGTGCCGCAAGGGCCGTTTTTTTTTTTAGTTGCCAGGGTTTCGGGTAGATTCCCTTAGTACCAAGTTTTATGGTTTGTTGACTTGTCCGTGAGGGCAGCAATGAAGGGCAAGTTGCTTAGTGACCCACCTTCTCGCAGATCACCTTTGGGAGTTTCTCGAAATAGTGTGCATTTGCTTGCCATGCGTGGCTGCATCCGGTCTAGACCCAGACAAATAGATGTAGGGCTGGGGTTGGCCTTGTGCCTAGTGAGGCCGTTGAGAGCTAAGGCCACGATGTCACGGTCACCACGCGCTTGGCCTCCGGCGGCACGGAGACGTTGCAGTGCAGTGAGTGAGGACCTCAAATTCCCGGCTGCCGCTGGGAAATTGAGCGCTCTCTTTCGGGCTATGGATTGCGTCCATTGGAACGCCAACTCAAAAAATGGCTGGTCGCAGAAATCCCCATGTCTGTCTGATGTCCACCAAGGATCCAATGAAAAATCAGATGTGGTTCCACTTCAAGATATAAAGGTTGTAGAAAGGGCTCTATGAATGTGTCCAACCATGCTAGCAGAACCAACTGTCACTGGGCTTCAGGCACTGCACAAATGGGGATGTAACCCATGCCTTGGTCAGAATACCCGTCGCTTTGGCGAAGAGCATGTCTAGCAAATGGCTGCAAATATGCAGATTGAGGATGTTGTGCCTCCAACTAGCAAATGAAGAGTCCTTCCCTGCTGTCAGCAGCTCAAAATCTGGCACAGCATCTTTCGCAGAACTTGCTGCTCCCTCGGGTTGCTCCTTTGAAGTGTTCAGCACCGGTGATAGTCTTGATCCTGGCAGTGATTCTATCAACAGGGCATCTCATTTGCCGGGTTGACCTCTATTTTCATTTGACGCTATCAAACATATATTCTCACCAACGCAAAGACCTTTGCATAGCGTAGTGACGCCCGAATGGCTCGTTTTTTTCGGGGGACAGAGGTAGACATTGAAAGCGCCCGGATTGCGCCCAGTGTGGATTCCTCCTACTCGGGCACGCTGGAAATGTCCTGCGACAACGGCCTGCTTCGCGCTGAGTCGTTGAATTCGAAAAAACTCCTTCCAATTGCTTAAGAATGTTTGTTATTTTCCCCTGTTGGTTTTAAAGGCAATCTATCGCTAGACATGAATTTTATTTTTCCCTGGGGACTGAAGCAAATGAAATAATCTGGGTGTGGTTTTGTTGGGGGGGAACTCCTTGTTGCCTGGTTTTCAAACCCGAAAAGCCATTTGGCGGTCCTTTGTTTTAAGACATACAGTACCCTACTTTGGTTTATTCTTCTTGGCGCTCAGCCAGTGAACTCCTTGAACTTTGAGACTTTGCGCCTTTGTGATGCAGGACCTACCCCACTAGAAGTCTGACTTTCGGCGAGGGATCAGTGAAGCACCAAATAGGTTGACAGGGTCTGAGTCCGCTGCTGCTCGGGTGACTCGGGTGATGTAAAGAGGCCGACGCTGCAAAGCGCGACCTCGGGTTGCTCTGAGCCGTTGAAAGGGCATTTAATGCGCCTGTGGTGTCTTGATCTTCAGAACGATGTTATAGAGGCTAAATACAAGACAGACACAGAACATACGATTTCAGAGAGGCCAAGTTGTTGGAGCAGCGCTCCCCTTTTTGGCTAGCTGCCCGAAAAGCGCCACGGGTAGAAAGTACCGCGTTGTTTTTTCCAGTGCGTTTGGCCCCCAGGGCGTTTGGCAACACGCTGGCCGGTTGGGACTCGTTTCACGGAATGTTTTCCAGCCCCTGTTTACGCCCGCCTTTTTTTCGGGCAAAGAGGCCGGAAGGTTGGACGATTGGTGTTGCTCTTGGTTTCCATTTACACCAACCCCAAAGAGGGTCCCCAACAAAAAGAAGACACCCCCCAACTCTTCCTTAGCCTTTGAACAACTAACAATCAGTTGCTTCCCGCAAATTCAACGCGCTGAGGCTCAGCGATTCCCACACCTGCCACGTGATGTGCCTCACTACCGACAGCCGCTGGGCCTGAAATTTCAGATCCTGTGCCATGGGTTGCCCAGGATGGGCATCAGCCTCATGGGGGGTTTTGACCACCACGGCAAGGATTCCGTTTTTCAGGAACCATGGATCGTGGCCCCAGGCTTGTGTTGACCATGCGGAAAGTGTTTTTTCTCTGTTTCCCAAGCTCAGTTGCTCAATTAATGGAACATCTTTCAACTCATCCATTTGGTCCTTTTTCCGGTCCATGTTCAGTGTCAACCCACAGGTCTGCCTGAGCAATTTCCAGGTCTTGATTTCCAGAAAGTCGAAGGAGATTTCGGTGGTTTTGCCCTTGGCACGGCACAAAGTCCGTGCTATGGGCCTTCAACTTCTTGGGAAAAGTGGAGCTTTCCAACCCCGCAAAAAAACACATTTTCAATCGGCCAACGTCCACCGCGGACGTTTGGTCTGTCGCAGGCGTGTCTGTCACCCTTGCTGGAAGCAACTACGATGTCGTGCGCCCAGAGGTTGCAATCACCGAACACCGGTCCATCGATCGCCCAGAACTGCGCCCTACGTCAGGGGTCCCGATATGTCCCCTTTGTTTGGATCTAAAACCCCAGCCTTTTGCACCCGTCTGAAATGAGTTTGCTTTGGTAGGGTTGATGCTTTGAGGACCTTCCCCCCCCCCCCCACGAGACCGTGTTCGAGATGGGGCTTTGCTTTCCTTCGAGGTGTCGCCAAGCAGCGAAATTCTGCACACGCAGGCGAGTTCCTGTGGACCTCGGAGCTTCTGGGCGGCTTCTTTCAGAAGGGTCCCTAGATTTCCCTTTTTGGTTGTTTTAAACATCACCTTTTTGGTCCAAAGGTGAGTCTCCCTTGTTGGGGGTGATGTTTTTTTGGGGAAGTAGAGGGAGAGTGGCTTCTTTCCCCACAAAAAGGACACCGGGACAGATTTCCAGCGGAGAGATGTTCGCCTTGGTTTGGTTTGGAGATTTTGGAGGTTTGGGTTCAAATCCGCAAAACGATCCAAACCACCAATGAAGGGGTCTATCGTGATTTTGCGATCCGAGCGGCTGGGTGGCCAGGGAATATCAATACGAAAGGCGCCTAGAAATGGGTGTCCAAAGCTTGGCGTTCCTTGTTTCTCTGTGCTCCTCCAGTTTCCCCTTGGCTCCTTTGCTTCCTCTTGACTTTTCTCATTCTTTCCCTTGATCTCCCCTTCTCTACGGAGCACCGCGGTTTTTGTGGCCCAGCTATTCTTTGTTGTGGCCCTTCCTCTTAATGGTTGGTTTTCTGGTGGCCCCACCAGTCTTTGCACACCTCGAGCCTTGATTTGTTGCGCCAGACCGGCAACGTGGGCTGTGGCGATGTCATCTCAGGTGCTCTCGTCGGAAGTGTCGTAGCGAGGGAACGATGGCTCTCGCTTTTTGCTCGGATGCGTCAGGCGTCGGTCAGGTCCAAGGCTGGAAGTAGATAGCCCTAGGCTTCATGGACCCAAGAATTATGTCAAAGGGGCATGTAAGAGGGGTAATGTTGACCCAGGATTAATGTTGACCCGTCCCATTATTAGGGGGGGTTCCCTCCAAAAGTGGTCTGAATCCCACCACTAAAAGGGGACACACCCCCTAAAAATCAACCACGGGTTCTGCTTAGTCCGGGGTTAACATTATGTACAAGCACTCTGGGGCCACTTTCTGTGGGGCCACGTTCGGCGTCCGAATCCCAGAATCCCATCTCGGGGGTGAAACCCCTGTGACACAAAGCCCTGTGACTCGCATTCCCGAGAAAAGCCCATGGGTTTGCAAACGCAGGACGACCTATTCGGGGTCAACATGACATTCTGGGCGCCCAGCAAATGAGACTTTGGTACTTTAAAGCTCATGTTCTCCTTTCTACCCATTTTGGTAGAACCAATCACTGGGTGTTCAGTTCAGACTTTCCGCTTCGAAAGGCTTTTCAGTTGAGACGTTTGAGGGTTCCAACTAGGTTCAATCCCTCAAAAGGTGGTTAGAAGTTTCGAACATCACCTCCAGGAAGGACATGTTCCTGTTGGTGATGTTTGCTTGGTTGCTCTTTGCCTCAAGCGAAATCCCCCTCATCTTGTGCAACATGAATGCGCCACAAAGCGCGTCTAAGTGGCGAAACGTCTCTCTCGCGTGTTGAAGGGGGCAAAGGCCAACCCAGAATAGAAACAAGTGCAACAAAGTTGGGAGGAACCGCCGACATGAATCGTTTCTTAGGGGCCGCTAGCCAATAGTTGTCTTCACGGTGCATTTGTGGACATTTGACGTGTTTGCCACTCCATGTGGGTGTTTCATAAGATTGGTGGAGCCATACACATGCTTGGCTTCCTTTCCTTTTCCCCAATGGGTCCTTTAGCAGGGTTGGGCAACCATGCTTGAACAGCCAGCCTCTGAGGACCATACCCGTTTCGGGGATCCAGGCAGATTCTGGGGAAGCTGCGGTCCTCTATCAAGCAGCTGATGGTGTTGGACATTCTTGAAAATGCGTCTAGGCTTTTGGCAAGACTGCCCCAAGCCCTAGACTTCCCCAACGCCAATTCCCAGGTGCGGAAAATGAGGAGTTACGCCAGAGAAGGCCTCGTAACTTTTTGTTGTGGGGATGTGTGAAGATATGGGACCCCCCCCCATTTTGAAAACCGCCCAAAAAGCAGTCCCCCTTAAAACCACCCCTAAAAAGCAGTCGTACCCAAACGCTGCTGGTTGCCAATTGATTTGGTTTTCAACAAAAACCACCACCACCCAAAACAGGACCAAAGTCTTTGGTTCCGCTCCAATCTCTCTTGCAATGAGAGCATTTCGCAGGTTACGGCGGCAACATAGTGCTGAGCTGCAATGAGGGGCTCATGACGGCGCCGACCTCGGGGCCTTGCAATGCGATCGATCCGTTTGCTTATGATAATATGGGACTGTCTTCTGTTGCGGGGACCCCCCCCAAAAGAAAAAGAGCCTAGATAGCCAAGTTGCTGCTTATTTCAGTCACTGCGACTGGTTTTTGGGGTTAAGTGGATGGAAAAACAACAGCAACTGGCGATCCAGGAGGCTTGTTGTCCTTTTGCTTTCAAAGCATTCAAATGTTCCGTGTTGGTATCACCCAAAAGGTCATTTTGCACATGTAGCTGTCACACGGGTGTACCGGTGTGCCTTTAAAATAGGGAAACTCATGGGAAGTACAGATGAATTGAACGCCAGGTTGTTTAATTAGTGGGGGAAGATACACCCCAGTTCGCGAAACCTTCGCATCCACAAGGCCGAGTCCGGGGTCGACAATGTGTACCCTCCCCTGAGTTTCCCTAAACAAACAACGGGTGGGGCTTTTTGAACCGGGTTTTGTTTGGGTGCCACAGAACACCTGGGGAAACTTATGTTTGAGGCTCTATCCTCGAAAAAGGGCACCGCCACATGGTTTCTTTCCAACAAACAGAAGTCAACATAGGCCTTGCGCCGGCAAGCTGTTGTCTTTCGACCCCCCCCCATCGCCAGGGTCCGCGGGAGGGTACACAAATGTTGGTGCGCCAAGTAGCGCGATGGGCTTGGTTTCCCTTTGAACCAAACAAATACCCCCTTTCCGCTTCCAAGAGACACCCAAAGGAAAAGCGCTGCTAGCGGATTTGTGGAGGGGTCCAAGCGGAAAAAAGACGCCCCAAGGAGAAGCAGCGGATTTTGCGGGGGTCCGAGCTGGAAAAAAAGAGGACAGGCCACGACAGACCCATCGGCAGGCAGACACCTCCGGATGCCTGGCCTTCTGCGCGGTGCTTAGTTGGGCCAAGCCAGCGGCTCCCATGGTTGAATCGGCTGATTTTTTTTGTTTTTATATATTAAAAAAGTTCATGGGACCCGGTACTTTTTAATAGAATAAGAGAAGAAATATATCTGAAGGAAAAAGTTTGCTGTTTTGTTTTCTTTCAGGGACCAAGCCGCAGAATGGCTTCGGTTTTCCTTTCGGCGTCCCTTCCATTTCCCTGCCAAAGAGGGGTACCCTCCAAAATAGGGCATGCCCAAGCAACGTTTTGCGGTTTCGCTTTGAAGGCGGTTCAACTCTTGAGCATCCGTTAAAGCAACCTCTCAAGGGGCCCACATTGAACACCTGCCCAACCCTGGTATCACCTCCGAATGAGCCAGCGATTTCCTTTCCGGGGTCCAATCTCTCGTCGCAAAGTTTGGTTACTTCAAGCCAGCAAGGGGTCCCCCCTGAAACATGCCCCAGCAAAAGGAACATCCCAGAGGCTCCCGACTGATCTAGGGCGTTCAAACAACCTGGTTTTGAGACCGGGGTGTCTAATGGAGGGGTCGGGTCTTCCGTTGAAAGCCCCAGGAGCCTCTGAGATTGGACAATTTGGACCCGACGTTACTGATGAGACACCGCGGTCGGGGCTGTAGGTGTCTGCCTGGTCTTCGCTTGTCCTTCATCAAACTACCAGAGAGCAGGTTCCCTTGAAAACTCACTCGTTTCAGGGGTAGCATGTTGTTTGGGGTGTACAAGAGATGGATGTCACAAGGAATATCGAAACGGAATACACGGGAAAGCCCATCCGTTTCGTGGTTTCCCTCATTTAGAGACATTGGCCTTTGGCTTCCAGTCTTCGGAACTTTTCCCCTTGAGACAGACACCCGCTGGAGCTTCAGGCTCCTCAGTTCCACTTGCAAAACTGAGCTTGCCGAATTGATTCTTTGCCTTTTTTTCCCGTCATTTTCTTTTTCAACCTGCCGACAGTTTTTGCTTTGGAGACCAAATTACCCAAACAGCGAGTAATGAGTAATGCAAGAGGGGTGTCTATGTACGCAACTTATTCCCAATGAATAAATTTGGTTTCACAGTACCCCGGCCACAGACGGAGTTGTGCCATTTGCTTTCACCCTGTGGGTGTTTTTCAAAATGGGACTCGGCCCTGTTTTTGGTTGGGAGTCAAAGGGACACCAAGATGTCCTTTCCTGGGTGTTTATCAATATTAAGAACCCTCCGGGGGCTTGGATTTTGGTTTTGAAACCCGACCGAGGAATTCCCATTCTCAACTGCATCTTGGGATTTCTCAACATGTCACCCTCTATTTTGTGAGAGACCACCTACACACCCTGGCTTTTGAGGACCCCCGCCCCGCAAAAAAAAAAGAAAAACATCTGCAAGAATAAGTGTGTGTGTGTGGGGTTGTTTTGTGTTTTTTTTCTTATTTTTGTTCTTCCTCTTTTCCTTCTGGCGTCCCTTTCCTTTCCCCAACCCAAGACGGTCCAGCCTTTTCGCCGCTCCAACCTCTCCCCCGGCGCCTCCAACCGAGGCGCTTCGGGCGGCTCGGTGGCCGCGAGCTTCGGGGGCGCCAGCCACGCGGTGAGCCTCAGCGCGGACATCGTCTCCGGCAGCACGGGGACCGAGAGCCCGGGGCCTCGGAGATGGAGTGATTCAGCAGCCAGGGGACTGGCTGGAAGGCTTCCTTTGGTTTAGCTTTTAGGTTTCCCTTGGTTTTTTCTTGGTTTCCCTTGGTTTCCCTTGGTGTCCCTTGGTTTCCCTTGGGGGTTTCCAGGGGGTTTCCAGGAAATGTCCCACTGTTTCCACCAGGGACTTGATGGCTCAGGCGTCTTTTCTTGTGGCCCTGAATATGTTCTTTCCTGGTGGTTTCCCTTTTCGCCCCACTCCACACCCGATGTTGTGTTCATCTATCAATTCATTTGCCAGGGTTCCCCTTTGATAATATGCCTAAGCATGCGTTTGCTGACACGCAAGTGCAGAAGCAGGCGCCTTCAACTTGTCATTTCGGACTTTCGAATTGCAAGGCGTTGTTGTTGTGTATTTTTTTTCATCCTGAGAAGGTTCTTGCCTCTCTCCGGCTGAAAGCTGTTTTTGTCGATAGCTTGGAGAAGCTGCGGAGTGGTTCGGAGCAGCTTTCAAGGAGCGTTCCAGAAAGTTTCAACGAATTTCCGGGTGTGGGGTGTGGGTGGGGGGTGTGGGTGGGGGTGTGGTGGTGGGTGGGGGGGGTGTGGTGGTGGGTGGGGTGGTGGGTGGGGTGGTGGGTGGGGTGGTGGGTGGGGTGGGTGGGGTGGGTGGGTGGGGTGGGTGGGGTGGGTCGGGCCTGTTGGCAATATGACCTGGGCTTTTGTATTTCCGGGCCTGGGATACGACCTGAGCCACTTGCTCAAAACCCGGGTAGATCAAGGTTAGTACGGTACAATCCCAGCCAGAACTAGCCGCCTTCTTAATTCTCGAAGCATGGTTCTGGGTCAACCGTTTTTATACCAGGTGTTGATCTTGACTCACTTTTTTAATACCATTTTTTTTTTTACCAGGGTTTTATACCATTTTTATACCAGGCTTTGATTTTGACTCACTTTTTTATACCATTTTTATACCAGGTTGTTATCCCATTTTTATACCAGGTTGTATACCCGGGCTTCTGTTGCTTCCTTGCTTTACCGCATCGCCGGGGTTGACTTTGGGACGCCGCTCCCCAGACTGTGGCGATGCGGACAGCGGCTTCGAGGGTGTCTTGGCGGGGAGCTCAGATCTTTTCGAAATTTGGCTGTGGTCGTCAAAGCCGTTTTGGATCGGATCCCATCTTGGTTGGGATTGGTGAATTCACCACCCAGTTTAACCTATTTTAGTGACTAAATTTTAGTGGTTGGATTGAATCGGATGTTCACTGGGGGTACGATTTGGATTTTGACCCATGGCTATTGGAGGTCCACTTTTGGGGTCTCCAAAACGATTTGATCGACTTCCATTTGCTGAAACGAGTATTTTATATTTTCCCCTGTTGGTTTTAAAGGGAATCTATCACTACTGGAAATGATTTCTATCTTTTCCAGGGGTCTTACAGAAAGCAAATGGAAGTCGTAGAGTACCTGGATCGCCGGTTGCGATGTTTTATTCTCCCCTGCGACTGTGACTGTGTTTAGAGTTTATTGTGTTTGGAAACAAGCAGCAACTTGGCCATCTAGGAAGACTGAATGTGGAACAGAGTCAGCAACATATGGTTTTCTGTATCGAGTTGCGGTGACCTTTTTCCATGTTCAGGAATGTTTTGGGATCCATGACCCAGGACACCAAACCTGAGGAAGAGCAGTTGGACATGCGGGATCAGGCTCTAGGTGCTTGAATGGACAGCATTTCCATGTGAGTTTGATCTCTACCGAGCCCACAATGAATAACACAGGATATTGATATGCCATAATATGCGCAGTCCCCGAAATCGGAAGGAAGGTTTTTCTTTTTTCTGCGGAAAATGGGGGGGATCTTCCAAACGTTGCTTCTAAGTGGTTGACGCACTCTCATACACATGTTGAGGCGTTTTGTATTCAATGTGGCATTGGTGACATTGAAGGGTATCGCTGATGGCACCCAACCTAATGTAGGAGTC